CATAAAGCTAAATTCCTCACAGGAAATCCTTAACCTCTTCCTTGTCCTGATTCTAGCAGAGCTGGAAGACGAGCAATATGATGGAGACCAATACCCTGCCCTTTGGTACAGTGTGCTTTTCACACCCACTATGACTTCCTGGCACAGTACCTTCCTTTCTCATGTTCATTTAACCACATCCCCCCTTCTAACTCTTGGAAATCAGTAGTCAGCCTCAATTTAGTGCAGAAGAGAGTGGGCTGTCTTATGGAATTGTTCCCTCCAGTATACCTGCAGTCAAAATGCTCTAAAGCTTTGCTTAGTTCAGTAAATTAGAATTGCAGAGAACATTCCCTGTGTCTGGGACTTGATAATCTATGCAGTTAAGATTATAGAACTCAAGATCATCAAGTCCAACCCATTCCCTAACACCTCAACTAAACCATGGCACCATCTAGTCTTTTTTTAAACATATCCAGGGATGGTGACTCCACCACTCCCTCATCTCCCTGGGCAGACAATTCCAGTATTTTATCACTCTGTCCATAAAAAAAAAAAAAAAAAAAAAATTTTAATATCCAACCTATATTTCCCTTGGTGCAGCTTCAGACTCTATCCTCTCATTCTGTCGGTTGCTGCCTGGAGAAAGAGACCAACCCCACCTGACTACAGCCACTTTCAGGGAGTTGTAGCGAGTGATAAAGTCACCTCTGACTCTCCTTTTCTTCAGGATAAACACCCCCAGCTCCCTCAGTCGTTCCTCACAGGGTTTGTGTTCCAAGCCCCTCATAAGCCTTGTTTCCTTCCTCTGGATGTGCTCAAGCCTCTCAACGTCCTTCCCAAACTGAGGGCCCAGAACTGGACACAGCACTCCTGGTGTGGCCTCACCAGTGCCGAGTACAGGGGCAGAATGACCTCCCTGCTCCTGCTGGCCACGCTGTTCCTGATGCAGGCCAGGCTGCCCTTGGCCTTCTTGGCCCCCAGGGCACACTGCTGGCTCATGTTCAGTCAGCTCTTGACCAGCACCCCGAGGTCCCTTTCTGCCTGGGCACTGTCCAGCCACACCATCCTCTGCTTGGAGCACTGCAGGGAGTTTTGTGGCCAAAATGCAGGACTCGGTACTTGGACTTGTTCAACTTCATCTTATTGGACTCTGCCCATCCATCCAACCATTCCAGGTCTCTCTGCAGCGCTCTCCTACCTTCCAACAAATCAACATGTACTCCCAGCTTAGTGTCATCTGAAAATTTACTAATGATAGACTCAATACCTTCATCCATGTAGTAATTAGATATTGAAGTTACAAGTTTAAACTTGAATGTTTGAAGACTTTTATATATGTATTTCTTGAAGTACTTTTTGAGGGTCTTCATTTTACCACCTCACCACCCAGGAAAAAGCATGGATAATATTCTGAATGTAAGCTTGCCCATCCTCTGTCCTCCCTCATTTCAGCTGGATTTATGATATTAATATTAATTGATTTGCAGCATTTCTAATTCTTGCCTTCTCCTAAGCTCTGCTAGAAAAAAAAAAAAAAAAAGCATTATTATACACCAGTTGTTCTATCCCTTGAATATGACTCCCTATTGTTGCACATACAAATTACCAAAAGATCACCTTGCTGGTGGTAAGTGGATATTTATTCCTCAGATTGCTTCTGCAATAGGAAAGAACACTTCTGAGAACAGGCCTTTTGCTTGTTCTTCCATTTTGCATTGTTTGCATCCTTTTTTACTCCAGCTACTGCACTAAATCCATGATTTATTCTTTGTTCTAATGTTTGTATTCCTCTCTGTCCAAAAAGTCTGGAAGTTTACAAATGCAGACTACGTTATAAGTTATGGATTAGATACTATAGTTAAAGAAACGATGACTGAATACATTTTTTCGATCAAATTATGATATAGTTTAAGATAGAAAATCTTCTAGGTATTATTATTAAATATAGATGCAATCTCTCATTCCATCATATCTGAACTCATTTCTCAGTAATAGATTTACCATAATTTTTGCTGCATTTTCTCCTAGGCTTTTTGTACTCACATGTCTTGTTATGCAAGCAGTGCAGGTGCTTTTAGAAATAGCAGCAAAAACCCTGTACAAAATACAGTTTTCCTTAAATAAAATGAAGATAAATTTTTATTACACAGGATTAATTTTACTGCAATTGACATCTGATCCTTTCTTTAGCATCCATAAAAAGCATCCCAGGAAAGTTCCTGATGAAGCTGAAGAAGTTTTCTCTGTACTGATATTCTCTAGGAAGTCTCACATGGACAGAACTATATTCTGAATTGCATCTACTGAGATATGTCTAAGTCAAGTGTTCACAATAACTTCCTTTCTTAATGCCTCTCTTCCATTTTTTTCTATCCCCTTGGCTGTTTTTTTAGTTTAAAAGTTATTTGCTCAGACCCAGTGTAGCAACAGAGATCTCACTTCCAAAACTATGCATGATTATATCAGAAACAATTAATTGAAGATGCTTACTGTTTATTTAAACTCATCCTTATTGTCCCCTGCTCCCCTCAGCAGTTAGTTGGGCAATGAAATATTAATTGTTTTACAATTTCTGTCAAAATTCCCTCACAAATTACCTGCCACTATTTTAAAAATTGTCTGACAGATGATAAACATTACATCTTATTTGGTTTACTTGAAATTCCATAGATGGGATTTTAATTCCAGAAGTAATTTGATAGTTTCTTAGTTGATTGCATGGTTGTTGAGTTAACAAATTACTGCTTGCAGCTGTTTTTGCAGTTTTCCTTAGGGTTAAGATGTTCGGAAGGAAACTATCACATTTTAATTAAATCTAATAGTAAATAGAAAAAAAACTGAGTTTGTTTTTTTTGGGGGGGGAGGGGGAGTTAGTTTCAAAATATTTATATTTCAATAATTATTTAGACATTTGTTCATTCAATAAGTCAATTTATTGCATATTTATTGCAATTTTTCTTTTAAAGTGCATTTAACACCTTAATCAGGATTTGTACAGGTGATTAAGAAACTGCTTTCAAGAAGGTTTAACATTTAGAGTGGTCACAGACCTTGACTTCTAAAGAGACTGCAGTAGGAGGAAACTCAGCTGGAGAAAGTTAACAACATGGCTCCCAATCAGGCTGTGAAAAAGAACTCAGAATAAAAACAAGACTTGCCAAATTAGCAATGTTTCAGGAAAGCATATTTATTCTTCAGAGCTTTATTATCAGACAGTTCCTCTCAGATACAGAAGACTATTAGGCTATGAAGCCATCCAACCCAATGTTTATGCCCTGACTGATCCCCTTCTGACTACAAAGATAGCCTAAGATTAAGTTAGAGTGATTCCTTACAAGTTTTGGCATTCTCAATGCTCTGATACTCCCACTCACTTTGTATTCCATACTCTATTATTAATACAATAGATATTTTCATAATACAGAGCAACAGAGTCACCAAGACTTTAGGACAGTGAAATGCTGGCAAGTCTTGTACTTTCAGAGGATTTCACATACAGATATTAGAGTGAAACATATCTTTAATTTCTTTTTATTTGAGTTGCTTCCTGCTAAATTATGTTCTAACCACTAGAAAATTCATTGAGTAACCACAAAAAAATACCCAATTCCTGTAATTCTCCACCACAGCTGAATTTTTTTGTCATGAACACAAATCTCTCTTCCATTCCTGTGACATCTCTTTGGGTCTGATGATTCTCTCTAAAATGCTGCAGTGCTCCTGACTGGGAGACCCTTGTGCATCAAGGAGGTAATGACCACCCAGCAGTCACTGGGAGAAGCTCTGGCTGCCCTGCTCATGGCCCTCAGCCTGTGCTGGGCCCTCCACAGCCCATCTGCAGGATGGGCTTGGCCAGTCTTTACAAAAGGAGCCTGCAGGTTGCTCCCACATGGTAGAAATGACCTCACCACCTTGGTATCCTTGCTTTTATCTAAAAGTGCAACAAGAAGTTCTTATAGGAGATCTTTATGCTTTTCAGTAGCAGTGATGAACTATTTTCTTGTAAAAAAATTCAGTAACAGGTCACATTACCAAAATTGGATAATGCTTTTATGGATGGGGTCTGCTTGGCTTGATGTGCCCTGATAGTTAAACCACTCAATGATGCATTGTTCAAGGTTCTCAGTATCTAAGATGTAAAATTAGCCATACTTTTCTTTCTCTGTAGGGTTAGCTCAAAACCCCACCATTTTGAATGATACTTTACAAAGTCTTTTCTTACTTGCATCATAAGGAACCAACACCTCCTAGTGCAAAACACATCCAAAATGCCTACTATTCCACAAGAACCACAAGGTACACGAAACCAGAAAGGCTGCTTAGCAGCTAGCTACATAGAAAAAACTTGACTACAATTCCTGCAGACACCTGTGGATGTCATCTTGATATTTCCAGAACACTGCTTGTTTGAAAAACAACTTTTTTCTTAATAGCCGTCAATGGAAATTCTAGAGAAAAAAAAAAAAAATAAATAGAACTTCCTTTTTCATTGTAGTTTTTATGTTGTTTGTATTGTACTGATGGGTTAACCTAGTATTAAGAACCAATAAGAATCAAGTTAATTTAAATGATTTTGAGATTTACTGTACTTAATTTCTTGCAACATAGAGCCATTTTATTCAGGAACTGATTGATATGTTCCCTTCACACTTCTGTCAACAGGCATTTTTAAAAGCTCATTATTGATTGCACTTAACACAAGGAAAAAGCACCATGCAGTGGCAAAGGCTTTTGCCCAGCCATGCTGAAAAGCACGTCCTATTTACGTCACATTAGAAACTTGGAAGGTGAAAAGATGATTTTTCAGATCCACAACTTTTCAGAGTGATAACTCCTTTTCAAAAAATACTCCATCAGAACAAAGGGCATATATTTCCTGTCTGCTCATCTCCGTGGTTCGTAAACCCCTGTATGAACACAATATATGCATTACATGGATTCCAGAGCTTTGTAATTTAAAAAAAAAAAAAAGTAATCTTGTGTTAAGATGGGGAAAAAATACGTGCTCCTGGTCTAACCTGGGATAGTAAGTGGAGATGAAAAATTAAGTAACTTCTTTTATTTCAGTTGGGTTTTTCCCTGGAGAATGGGAAAAGGAGACTACCCATTCCTAAACATTTCCAGCTTTGCAGGCTCAATTTTACAGTCATATTCTTCAGAAGATCNTTTCTTTTCTTTTCTTTTCTTTTCTTTTCTTTTCTTTTCTTTTCTTTTCTTTTCTTTTCTTTTCTTTTCTTTTCTTTTCTTTTCTTTTCTTTTCACAAAAATCTTTGTATTTTTCTATCTCCTTTTTCAGATTGCATCCATTTTCTAACCTTCCTTTTACAACTCAGATTTCCAGGATTCTTTCAAGCCTCTTCACTTTGGGGATGCAGAGGGTTATCAGCTGATAATTCCTGCGTGTCCTGGTAAAGACAGGAAGACCATCCTCAGTTCCTTTATTTTCACTATCCACAGAGTCTAAACAAACAAAAGTCCTTCCAAGTATACCTGTATCACTTTCTCAAAATGCCTTACTGAAATGAGATTTAGACCGAAGTAGAGCATTCTGTTCACAAATTTTAGGCTATGTCCTAAAGACACTGAAAAGCTGGTTCAGCAGTATTATTGGTTTTCAACAGCACTGACAGTCAAGCTCCTCAGAAAGACTTGAAGTTTATTAAAAACTATTTGTTGCAAAATTCCACTAACAGTCTTCTATATGTGTGTTTCTGTGTGTTTTTAATGAAAATTTTTATATTGGTTCCTTCAGGTTTACTCTCAGTGTGCATGCAAAATACTAAGTATCACACATTCTACTTTTAAGCAAATAAAAATGAAGAACATATTAGGCATTAAGTGTAAGACCATTTTCAAAACTATTGTTTAGGAAGTCTAGAATGACAACAGCTACAAAATATTGTGTCTAAACAGAACTTTGCCAATAGAATTAATTTTCATAGGCCAGAGATAATTTTTACATGAAATTAACAGGGGTAGAAACAGCAGGATTCAGCTACAAAAGTGGTGCTGAACCACAGAATTAAAACAGACATCCTGTCCTGCCACATAAATTCATCACTGTTAGAAGAAACTGAACAGGTGTTGTTCTTTTTTTCATGAATTTATGCCCAGGAACTAAGTCAGGAGACAGCTGAAATATTTATATATTTATTTCTCCAGAAAGAGAATTTACAACAATATCAGAAATGCATGGAATATCTAAAAGTCTTAGGGAAAAAGATCACTATCACATTTCCAGATCAGTGATTTCAAAAGCCAGAGCCTGAAAACACTGAACATACAGTGTTGCATATAGGTAAGGGTTTGCATAAAAAGAGCTTTGCAAAATTTCCTACTCCGTTTTCAGATTTTCTGCCATAATTCATTCCATACTATCAGTTATAAAGCCCAATTTTAAAAATGGTGACTGCCTTAAGCTAAATTGGCAGTTACCTGCAGTAAAATTCTGGCACTTTTAGTATTTCAGCTAAACATATGTCTCATTAGTTATTTCAATTATTTCTACTTGTAATCCAGAAGGAATTTTCTCTCTTTGCATATAATAGTTGAGACAAATATAATAAAAGTTATTACAGTGACAAGTTATAACCAACTTCATTGTCAGCATAGGCTGTAGTCTTTCAAAAAGAATTAATTATTTCCCACTGCCTTTTTTTTCTACTGTGGAATCCTTAAATGTGCTTTTAAATGCAGTCTTTGAAAGTTTCAGACTGTCACAGAAGCAACATTTATAGCCTTGGCATTTCTTCTTGTCTAAAGGACACAGCTTCTCTTCAGACAGTTGAGGCTATACCTAGACTCAACACAAGCGTCTTCATCACTCCCAGGCAAACCAGCCTGGGCTTAGTTTGGATTGCTATAGATTTCACTAAAACTCCTGTCTTAACACTATGGAACTGAATAAAGTTAACCACTTTAGCTCTCAAACTGCTGTATTGTGTATTTGGACAGGGTGAAATATAAACACTGACTTAAGTCTTAACTCTGGAAATCACTGGATAAAGAAAAGACAAGCTACAAGCCTTTTTTCCATTCAAGCATTCCCCAGTTCCACCTGAGCATTCAGAGAACTATTCTTGCCCAGCAGCCATAGAAACACCTGAACTATTGCAGTGGTTTGTACTCAGAAGTAGCACATCATTTTTTATATAATTTATATCACTGCATGACTTACCAGCCCCAATTGGTGCAACCTAAATCACTTTAGTAAAAATTGCTCATTTATTTTTTATCTTCACATTTGAATTTTGAAAAATACAAGACTATATTTTGTGTTAACCACATTTTGTCGCAATAAGATTTCTTCCCTCCAATATAGTAATAGTTTTAGAATTTTCTTAGTGAATTTTAATAAGTGAATCTTTAATCTAGTGAATTTTTATATATAGTATAACCTCAGTTACGCCATAGCTGAAATGAAGACCCAAGATTTAGACTGCAAACCAGTAAAATTTTACGTCAGGTTGTCTGAGAGCTAAACACTTAATGCATTTCCAGAAATATTATTCTCAAAGAGCTGTGTCACTGGATATTCCACAAAATTGTGAGATTCATTCAACTGATTAATGACTCACCTAGGATTACATGTTCATGCACTAGAAACTTTTGCCGACAAAAGAACCAGACTCTTGAAGTGTGCCACCAAGGAAAATAGTTTTAATTGCAAGATAGTGATTTTTCTGTACAGCTGCAGGGCAAAACAAAAATGTAAAATTAAGGAGGGTTTGCACTGCCTTTTATATATGAACACTTTCAAGTGAAAAATTGAGGATTTATAACACAGGAACATGAAATGCAGATCAAAATGACAATGTTCATTATTGGTCTGACACCAGAATTCTTTTTCAGTGACATTTCTCCCCACAAATTAAAAGCTCGAACAGAAGACACACATCTTTATGTACTGATTTTTCAGCAAAAAAATTGAGGCAATCACAGAGGGCTGTAGGTCACATTCCACAGCTGCAGTACTTTGCAAGTGATAGGAAGGCATGTCTGCAAGCTCCACTGGTCAAACCAGGGGTGAATTTCGTCTCTGTAGCAGCTTTGGAGACTGTAAATCCACAGGAATTATTCAAAGGTAGAACTATTTTGTATGTTCTTGACCACCACCTTATGGCCTTATTTGTCTCAGATTCTGAGCCAGACTTTGGCCAGCAGTCAAAAAGTAGAGAAAGACCTGTAAAGTGAAGTCTACCAATTCCATTCAGAATTGCAGTCAGTTGTCTGATGACATCTTTCCAAAGCACTTGTTAATGTTACTCACAGTAAAAGCCAAGAGTTGTCATGGGGACATCGTAAAAGATTTGTTCAAGTCAGTTTCACAAGTCATTAGCTATCAGCTGAAACTCCCATTTCCCTAACTCAAATTTAAGCCATTAAATCATACTGCTCTCAACTGAAAAAGATGACAAAAATATGCCCTCCAAAGAAGAAGCACACTCTTGCATTTTCCTTCTTGCACTTAACCTTCCAAACTAAAGAGAACCCAGAACACTGGGGAAGTTGAATGTCTAATTTTTTTCTCTGAAAGAGCAGCTGTAACTGAGAAAGCATGGGATGTAAATTTACTTTATTTTTAATATGTACCATTGACCTTCTTTGCCCTGAAGATTTACATGCATAAAACCAAAATAGGATCTACATCCCATAAGCAATGGGTAAAAAGATTCCAAGTAAATAAACTCTGTAAGTGAGAGAAAATATGAAAAATAACTTCTATTGAATAATACATTATTTTTTCAAGTATTTGTGATATAAAAGCATCAATTGAAGCTGTAGATTTTTAAAATTTTGTTCATCTATTCTTTGCAAGTCATAAAACATTGAGAAAAAAACACACAACCATGCCCCAAGAGGAATTAAGACACTTGGCAGGTACTTCAGTCACTTACCTACACAGATAATTTAGTCAGTGTATTAAAATCAGTTCAAATAACCCACTATTCTATTTACTTAGAAGAAAACACTTTATCACTCTCTTCTCTATGTAGGTACATAGGACAAAAGGGACAGTCACTTGAGTTGTTTTTTTTGGTACTAGTGAGGCAGAAATGGGCAGCTCACCAATGCAGAAAATTAGAGAAGGAAATGCTGTGACAGACGCAGAAGAAATGCAAGAGACAAGCAACAAGGCTGGTCAAGAGAGACTGGAGGTATTGATGGGAACACATCAGGAGCCTTTGAGCAGATAGAAAGATGGGGAAGTATAGTTCAGTAGGTCACAAAATTATGCAGAATTTCAACTTTGAAATCATAACCACTTAGGAGATATTTAAGGTAATACTTGGTAGGTTTTAGAGCCAGTACCAAGGAATTGAAAAGAAAATCAACATGTTTTCTTTATACAATGTACAGTATATGGGGAGTTGTTTATATTGCATGGCCTCCTACTGCATAGTAGTTTGTATGTAAAATAAAGCTATTTCAAATTCCAAAAGAAGGGCACAACCGAGGAATTCAAGCTGGACCTGGGAAAGCAGTTAAGTCTTATGGTCAGAAGGGAGGAAAAGTAGAACAGGAAATCTAGAAATGCTGTATGGAGGGGAAAACCAGCAAATTTTCCAAGGGAGTATTTCTAACTATTTGTGAAGGGTGTGAAAAGTGAATTAGAGATGACTCCTAGGACCTAAGGAGTCAGATATATCAATACAAGCACCACTCTTCAAATTATTGGGATGGTTGAGGAGCAATTGCTCTGATTGCTCTGAAATCTTCTACCCACACTTTGCTATTTAAGCATACCAGAAAACTTACTGAAATAAAAAAAAAAAAAAAAAGAATATAAAAGACTCCAGCAACAACAACAACAAAGAAACCAAACCTGAGAACTACTGAGAAAAAGATTAACACAAAATGGGGACAAACTTTGGAAACACTATCCCCAAAGACATGGTGACTATTATACAATTGCCTGCAGTCTGTATTGACGATAACAAGCATGACACTGTACTAAATATGAAAAGACTGTTCCTTACCAAAAGAATTGAGAAAAACTCCTGTCCCTTTGCTCCATGTACATCCTGACTCTGAAATTCCAAGATTCAGTTATAAGACTGATATGCACATGTATGAAGAAAACTTAAACACTAAAATATTGTGAAGACACAAGAATAAAATTATCATTGAGTAATGGGGCTCTGAGTGCAGGTAGCCAAAGGCTTCGAGATTGCAAGCCAAAGTAGGAAAATTTATGTGGAATTTACATCTCCTGAAGCAATATTTTTCTCAATCACAAATTTGGATCAGAAAGGCTGATTTTATATTCCTTTATTTATAAATCCAGCAAAATTCCAAGGTGAACTCATTATAACTGTTGAAATTTGGGCAACAGCAAAGACATCTTTTATTGAGAGCGCAGCCTAGTTAACTATTTCAGCAGCTGTAATAATCAAGTAGTTAACAGCTAAAAGCACACATCATTTTGGAAGACCATTAGATTTTGGGCCTCATCTGAGAAATTCTTAAGAGGTGTATATATACACATATATATATTTTTTAATTAAGTGATAGGCTGAAATAAAGAAAGATGAGTCAGAAAAGCACCTCCTGACTCACACATGTTAGGAGTTGCTTCTCTATTGGGAACAATGATGCATTGAAGGGTGTGGGCAATTCTTTGAAAGCACCGCTTCAAAATTAACACAAGTAAAATTAATTGTACAGATTTAGGAAGTCAAAAGAATAAGAAAGGCATAAAGAACCAGAAAATTATGAAGTTACTTTACTGTTATTGTCTCATGGCTCAATCTTAAAAGATTAAATATCAAGACAGAAATTGACTCATTGAAATGACACTATTTGTCTTTTTTTTAGAGGTAGTTACTGTCCTACCAGATCCTTGAAGTAATAGAAGCATTTTCTATGCAAGAACCTGCAAATATTTCCCATATTATTACTGATGGATAACAGTAGTTGGTAAGATTCTGCTACACTGTTTATTCAGAGGATAATAATGTCAATGTCAGCTCCTCTGTCAGCTAAGTTTAAATCAACCATAGTCATAAAAAACAGCAATAAACACTACCCTTAGGTAGATTCATTCATTTTAGGTTAAAATTTTGCATTTTTGCCTTTTTACCTGTGTATAGATATAGGCTTTAGCAGCCTTTGGAAACCACTGGAGCTCTCCAAATTAGTGAAAATGGAAGGGCAAAATTGATGGCAAGAAGATGCATATAAAAGAAATTATCAACCAGCAAAAGAATATTTGACATCCCAAAATCTGGGAATTATATTTAAAGACTGACCATATATTATTTTTCCATGTAAGTCTTAATTTCTCTTTTTAATGATGTCTCCAAAATATTAGAACAAACATACAAATAAAGCTCAAGACCAAGGGTGATCGTTGAATCAAACAGGTAGATAGAAATTTGGCATTTGGGCAATGTAATATAGCATTCACCAAAACTGTTCACAGAACTCTTATTTAAGAAATTTTTCACAAGTCCTTGCGTCAAATATTCTAACATTTAAATATTAAAGAGATTAAAGTTATAGATAGTATGGAAGTAACAGTGCTTATTCAGAGCAGAGAAGTGTGGGCAAAAAATTAGAAGAAAATGGGTTAAAAATAAAGTATGTGTAATTACACCTTCTCAGCTACTTCTTTTTGAAAGCATTCCACCTTAGAGAAGATAAAATTTGGCAGTGAGTCACCTCATATAATTCTATTCCAGAACAAGTTGTTTTTTAAAAGGGGAAGTAGTGATTTGGCATTAGGAATTAAAAATGATTTTCTGGAAACTGCACTACTTTACCTGCTATAAGAAACCCTTTTGAATAAAATACTATAAAAGCTTAAATTCATTATGGAAAAGTATGATAGATTAAAGTTGTGATTGAAAACTGACCTATGATCAGGCAAGCTACTGAATTACTTCCACTATAAAATGTTGGTCATTCTTCATGTTTTGTATGAAAGAGTTACTATGGAAAAATATCTAGAGTTTTGCTTTTTGCTAAATCAAAGATTGGTGATCTAGTTGGGCACAGTTGTGATAGTACATTATTAATAACAAAACTAGAAAAGTTTTTCTTTACTAAGCAAAATGATGGACAAGAAGTCACACACAAGCAGTAAGGGGGTCAGAGCTTAGGAAATTTTTCAGTTGAAAAGAAAGATAAATACCTTTTTGTAATAAGTGCCAAAATGTATATAAATAAATTGTTGATTTTTAAACATGAAAAACTATCTTATGGAGAATGACAACTATACTGCCATATGCTATCATAACACATGGTCAAATGTACTTATCGGTGCTGTCATAATGTGATGAATTTTTTTATACCAAGAAACAAACAAAAATCTTGGATGGTAGCAGCAGTTTAATGAGCAAGCAAAGAGGAAGCATGGAGGCAACTGCAACAGTTCAACATTCAAATCTCATGCACTCTAGTTGCAAATTAATAATTTTATATTGTTTTTTGCTTATAAATTTTAATTTAAGTTTTATTTTATATATTTATGGGATACAAAAAGGGAGGTATTTGGTTATGGTCTTCGTTTTAGAATTATGGAGCCAAGGAATGGAAGAAATACAATTTATACACTGTCATCCATCTTTAACCTTTAAAGGACTTCTCAGCTCAGTGTTAAACAAAGAAAGAAATTGATTTCTTGTGACTGCTGGTTGCATCGTCAGAATTATGAACAATGGAAAGAAGATTTTTAAAGAAGAGTTTTTACAACTTAGTGATGTAGGATACAGATAGAAACAGTGTTCTTGTTTTAAATCTTCATTTCAATAGCATACAACATGGAATGGATTAATTATTAGGCATAATATGGCTTATTATACCTAATATTATCCCTTATATCTACCACATCATGTACAAGTCCTTATCTCCTTATGATAAAATAAGTGAAGCAGTTAACACATTCTGATATAGTTATCAGAATCCTTACATTAGCTTCACTAAAATTGCAAAAGGCAATACTTGCATTACTTGCATCCTCACTTTACAAATGAAATTGCACACATATTTTCAAACAGGAGGTCTGGATCTACTGATTTGTGAATGATTAGAGGATATTTTTTGACAGTTAATAATTAAAATCACTTCATGGACTGTTGCTTACTCATGATTCTTTTCCAGGATGGAAAATTGAAATGGTTATATGGAGATTATTCAATGTCCCTTTCCTTCTTTTTATTTTTGAGTTGGTTCTGTTTTTGGGCTTTTTAAAATAATGATCTAATGATTGACTACAATGGTTCATTATAAATCTCAAGGTACTAAATTCCCTGTAGGATTTTACCAAAAAATTTTCCAGATCATTTTACAAAATGATGATATTTTATGACAAATAGAAAGCACAGGAAGAGATTAAGTAAAGAATAAAAATTCTCAGGAATCTTGAATGAAAATTCTTGGCACAAGTTCAGTTGAACATGCTGCTTTTCTTTTTTTCCAGATACAATTCCCTGAAAGTCACTAGCTCATCCAAGGATGGTACAGCACAGAAACAGCAGTCAGAACTGGTGAAATCTGGGAAGAACATTCATCAAAACTCAGATACTGAAAACAGGACATTTATAGAAATCTCTATTGGTTGTTCTCTCTCTCAGAGGCAGAATGCCCACTCTTCTCAGTATTTCTGTGACAGACCTCCTTGGCATTATACTAGGGATGTCACCAACCTTTGCTTGAAAATAGCCAGTCTCTCCTAATTTTTCAGACACAGATTCAATGATCCCAATAACTTACCATTTAAAAACATCTTGAGTTCATAGAAAATACCATGGCCCCTATAACAGTAGGGGTTGCTGATATTTAAATATGCATTCTGTATTATTTAATGAAGGAACTTAGAAGAAACTTATTCAGACATAAATGGTTTTAAAGTGTCCAGAAACATAAATCTGAAATAAATTTTTCACAAATTTTTAGTTTATTGCAAGCAACCTGTAAAGATTCTTATTTACATCAATTGAAAAAATTATTACACATGAGCAGTATGTATAGTTTGCATACAAGCAACATTAGAATTTCAAGGTTTTACCCAACAAACATCATTATCAAACATTAGATGGCCTAGCAAGATGTTAATTCTTTGCTGATACTAAATGCACCCAAGCCACTGAAACTTTATCTATAATGTTATCATGTGCTCACCTCACAAAATCTTGTTTATATTTCACATATTTTTACATATTATTTTATTACTGAAATAAAATAACTTTACAATGTTTAGAAGGCCACTAAAATAAAATTTCTTGAATAAGTTATTAAAATCCTAATGCTTAAATACAAACCAATAATTTAAAATAATATTTTTTGCAGCTAACATGTCATTATTTTGTACATTTTCTATGATATAATGCTACATATTTTGGATGAAAATTGTATTATTCAAATAATACAATTTTGCAACCTTCTGTTACCAATCAACTTCAGAGCAATTGAGATTTCTTTGAGTGGCCTGGTATTCCTTACAAGATTTATTAATACAAGTCGGTTAATTTCAGAGAAGTTGAATCATAGGTTTGTTGAAAATCATTGTTTTAGCAATCATAAGGTTGTGAATTTTGTATTTTTTTACCAAATAGTTTTTGTCAGGATCAGAAATGTTTCCCAAGACTGGAATGCTTCTCTTCCAGTGTGGTGTACCAGTATAGAAGTGGACATATGTATTACAAAACTGGAATTGGTTTTAAGCCTTGGATACAGAAGCACAGAATATTCTGTTTTTAAAGGGACCTACAAGGATCACTGAGTCCAGCTCTTAAGTGAATGCCCTCGATGGGGATCAAACCTGCAGTTAGAAAATCTTTGTGAATTTTTCTCTTTCTTATGAGTATGCGAACCCTGGTGTACACTTATCATGAGTTCAATAGTCATACTGGATACTCTGGAGCTGGTGTGGGTGCTCTCAGTCTCCTCTTCACCTTGTTATATTCTGTATAAATAATTAGATAATCCCTTATGCAAAGGTGATAACCTATTTCTACCCTCTTGCATTTACCAGCCACAAGGATATAGGATCCTTCTTTATACCAATCATTTTGCCAAAATTACTTAAT